ACACACACACACACACACACACACACACACACACACACACACACACAATACATTCACAACTTCATTTTAAAGGTCAAGTGTACATTATAGACATTAGGTTCAGTGTCATTTCTGTGTTTTGGTGATAAATCGAGAAAATGTTGACATGTAGCATTCCCATTAGCATGCTTTTATTATTCTGTATTGTTATTTTAGAAAATTTTCAGCATGGCTGCATGACTTGGCACACGTTGATAACGTAATAAACACGTATCCTGTAAATGTAACCAATTATCTCCTTGTTTAAAACAAAACATCCATGTTGATTTCTCACAGAAATCTGGAGGTTTACTCATCGCCTGGCCTTGAGTTTTAAATGGCGGGTCTCGCTGAGTGTTCCCGTCCTATACTGCATGTGAGGAAGAAGCTGGGTAAAGAATTTCAGTAATAGTTGATTAGATGCATGGAGAATGAGTAGGATGAAAAGTTCTGTGAAAGGTAACACTAGTCAATAATTTAGCAGTCTGGGCTCATATTCCACTATAGGATCTGGCTTCACCTTGTGTATAATAATGTTTTAGTAACTGGGAAACATTAGAGCATATTCCCAAGAACTTTGTCCCCAGTCACAGCTGCAATTACAAATAAATGGGTTTCACACTATCGTAGTTGTTGACATGGCGGGCATTAAAATTTAAACATTTATACTTCGATGCCAGCCACCATTTTAACAAGCTTTGTCTTCAAATAACTAGAAAAGTGGCCCAAATGTGTAGTTTCATTACTCCCTCCTTTTCATTTTCAGTGCTGTCTCAACCTGTTCAGGGTAGCAGGTTCTGGATCTTATCTCCAGCAGTCAGCAGGGAGGCGGGGTACACCCTGGACAGTCCGCCGGTTCATCACAGAGCCACATAGACACAACCACACCTCACTCCTAATATCAATGTAGTACTGCTACATCATTTTAACATGCATGCTTTTGGACTGTGGGAGGAAACGGGATACACTGGAGCCAAGCCTCCATGCACAAGGAGAACATGCAAACTTAACACAGAAAGAAGGTTTGTAAGCTCAATCATCCAGGTAGATGAAGACAAAAAAAAGGTTAAATCATGTCATCTGGACCAGTTTGTTTAAGTGAGAAAGGTTTCGCCTCCCATCTGAAAGACTTTGTCAGTCTACGGCCTGCCAACCAGATCTGTCCCATAGGTAGTTTTCATTGCTGTGTTTTAAGCCAACCTCCTGTGGAATCTCACAAGTAGACTTTTAACATGTACAAACAGGGCCCACCCGTCCAAAACTATCAATCTTCATGAATCATCAAATGTTTTAGGCCAGATGGCTAACTTGCCAACTTCAGGGACTGGTTCAGGTTAGGTTTATTTGTCATGCGCAAAATCAACACAAGGTCAACATTGCAATGAAATGCTTAGGATGAGAAGAACTGCCTCGACTCGCCAAACAAAACAAGAAGAAGAAATCAAGCAGCAAAAATACTAAAAAAAATACTACCAACATACTAAAAAAACAAGGTGCCAAAGTTGAAAAAGAAATACATCTACAGTGTGATTCTGTTAGCAGTGAGGTTCTTTCAACATGATGGTTCTGTTCTGTTAACGACTTGGTCTTGTTAGCAGGTCTGGTCAGCATCTGTAATAAGGACCGCAGCAGCTGCCCTCATAGACCGCAGTCCAGAACTGGGTCCGGCAGACAGAGACCATCCAAGGTTTCTCCACAGAGCTGAACGTGTCCGTAGAGTTGGGTCAGTGCAAGCAGATAGAAGACAGATGGAAGACAGTGTTAGTAGCGTTAGCAACGTTATTAGCATTAGCAGGCCCTGCTAGCAGCTTGATGATAATAACGAGCGCAGCAGCTGCCCTCCCAGACTGTCCTCCAGAACCGGGTTAAGATTCTTGGGACTCACTTTATTTGGCCTGTTTCAAAGCAGACATTTTGACTTGGGCACAGATGTATTTGAAGGCTGCAATACATTTAAATGAAATCCTGCTTGTAAACATTTTTTACATAACAACCAGCGTGAACAGCAGAAGTGCAATGCTTCCTTGTTAATACACGTGCGCTTTCCCTACTCGTTCAAGTCCATGTCTGCTGTGAAACAAGCCTGTCACTTTAAAATGGCAACAGCAGTTTAGTTCATATTACTGTTTTGTTCTCGTTTTTTAATGTTTAAAGGACTAAAGTGAGCAGAAGCTGAACAATGTCCCACTCGTTTTACAAATAAAGGAAGACACTAAATTCTGTAAAATTTCTGAACCGGTGCAATGACATTTACACTAGTAGCTTTTAAACATTTGAGTACTTGTAAAGAATTTGTCAGAGGCCACTAAAATAATACTCAACCTTGGAATAAATAAAACTGTCTGCGTCATTTGTGTGTCAATAAATGGACTACCGTGTAATTATTCTATATCATTCTTTGCCACAGAAAACTCTGGTGTACAGTCTTTTGATTTAGCATTTATTTTAAGGTTCATTGTGCTAAAGATTCTTATATTTATTTTTGCCCCACCTTGTGTGCAAACGGCATAGACTGTGCAGTAAATAGCAAACATCTACTTGTTTAGATAAAGGCTTCTGGAGACGGTTAGTTTCTTTTTGTTACGTAAATGGTGTAGACATCATAATGTACAAGTATTATTCTTGCATGCTAAAAGTTCATTTTGTTTTGAAAGTTTGTCTGGAAGGCAGGTGGTAACCCTGCAGCTAGATCAGAATAGTTTCCTTCCAGGAAAAATACCAATGAGTTCAACAAGACTCCAAAAAAGATGCAAGGCTTTTGTATTTTGGGGGTTTCAAGCATGAGCCGAGACCTTCTGATGATTATTAGCTTAGTCTTTGTGTTGTATGGGTGTCAAAGCATCTCTATAAAGGAAGAGTACACAATCCTTTATAGTACTGGCAGCCAGAGTTTAGTTAGTGTAACTTTAGACAGTATTTCATCAGTTCCTTTGTTCTTCTTTGTTGTTTCCTTGTCATGTTTCTGTCAGGATTGTTTCAGGGATTTCTCTCTGTAATATCGCCTCCCTATCTTCAGCTACACAATCCATCAGCCACTCAGCTTTCAAGTTTATTCAGATGAGGTTCTCATTTGTTCCCCCCTGCCCAAAAAATAAAAAATATAAATTGAAACCTCTGTTTTATTTCTTTGCTCACAGACGAGGACTGAATCCGCCCCACAGAGTCAAGTCCATCTCCATGACGACCTTTATGCAACAGGAAATCGAGTTCTTACAGAAACATGGCAATGAGGTAGGAATTATTTTTGCTTCATCCCATAACAGATTTGGTTATAACATTCAAAGTTAACTTTATTTCTGCTGTGGCATTTTTTATTTATTTATTATTATTATTATTTTATGTACACACCTAAAATTCCTTTGGAACTTTTCTGTGAACTAAATGTTGTCAAGTAACTGGCCAGATTGTCACATTTCTAACTAGATTGCAAAGTACTTACAAGAAATACACATGCATTGTAAAATTAAGTCACTCTTGAGAAATGCTTGTCTTTCAAGCTCACACCCATCCATCATAATGTTAAAGGCTTGGCTTAAATATGCAGAAGAACCAAAATCCATTAAGTCCATCATCATACAAGAGGCAAACATTAATGTATAGGGTATAGAATGGTGCAGTGCCACTGGGGAAGGACGGTCTAATTAAAGCTGTAGCAAATGGCCAAGTAGGCAGCCATGCAGGAGACTCAAGGTTGGAATTGTTGCTCTCATCCTGCAGGGCTGCTTTCTAAATATGTCTACTGTAAGCTTTTTTTTAATGTTTCCATTATTAGCAGTTGAGTTCAGAAACACAACTCGTACAAGAGCTATTCTGACTGTCGCACTGCCAATACCATTCTTTAACACCTCTAACCACACATAGGATTGTTGTATACAAGGGGGCCAGGCATCCTTAAAAAGCGGAGGCGTTCATGATCATCTGGTTGTAGAAAATTTTTCAGTCAAAATGTTTTTTTCTGCTTTAATCCCTGGGAAAATTTAATTTTAGATACATTTTTTTTTGTGGAACTTTTTCGACAGGCTTTAACCTCGAGTCACGCTCAGGCTTCTTTCTCACGTTCTGAACTTGTTTTCTTTTATACTGTGATGGTTCAAACCAACGGTGATTGAGGCGATTGAGGCTACTTTCTACCAGCTGCTGATGTATATGTTTGCTAGCTAGCTATTCTGTGACTAAATCATGTGTTGGCGCAAATGCATCAACAGTTGGCTGGATGATGGTTTTGTGCATGAAGCCAAAACTGGAGATTAAAACACAATTGATCTTCATACCATGAATGTATTCAGTAATGCCTTTTTTATTGGATGTTTCCAACTAAATAACTGCACTTGTACATACAGCTATTGAACCAGATAGCTCTGAATATCACTTGACGGTCAACAAACAGACTAAAACTAAACTTGAATGTGTCTCATTGAGTGACACACATGCTGTGCTGGGTTTTAATGCAGACGATCCAGCCATCGCCAATATTTATAGGTTTTTCTGTCTTAAATTTCATTCAAGGTGACATTATAAAGGTCTTAGAAAGTGTGAAATTTGACTTGCTTAAACCTGCAGGTACCCTGTGCATATTTTAATTCCATCACATCAGACCAGGAAACCTTTTCTGATTATGTTAAAAATTTCAAATCATCGGTGTGTCTTCATATCTATAATTTATGGCTTCATCCTTTTTTATCTTCCTCATGTCATTTAAACACTTTTAACAATTTAAAGACCAGTGACGGCTGCTAATGTCCTGTAAGACTTGGTGTCCTATAAAAATCATCAAACAAGTATGAATATCATTAAACGTTTTTTTTATGTATTTCAGGTATGTAAACAGATTTGGCTTAGTCTTTATGATGACAGAACCTCATCAGTACCAGACTTCAGAGAACCACAAAAGGTCAAAGAGTTCCTTCAAGACAAATATGAGAAGAAGCGATGGTGAGTTTGTTTTACACGTGTCCATTGCCTAGAACTAGACTCTTCAGAGCAGTGTGCAGACATGTTGCTTTCCTTTCCGTTTTTCCTCTCTCGGGCTTGGAATGTCTCAAAGGCAGCTCGTAGCTCTTAGCCCCCAGCAAGCCACCAAATTATCCTCTTTCAATGTAGGTCATTGTGTTTAAGCTGCTTTATATGCACAATACAATGACTTTATATATACATATGTTTTCTTTAGTTGATATGTGTTTGCTGTGGAAGTTTTAGTACAAACACAAGAAAGTGAGTGAATTGTTTAAATTGGATTAACACAATAAAGAATGATAATTACACATTAAGTTTAGTTTTTTGCTGGTAAACATTAAAATTGAAATGCATCTTTAAGACAAGCTGTTTTTCGAGATGATTACATATTCATCTAGTTAATTTACCTTATTATGAAGGTGCTATTTTTTGTCATTTTCTAGTGTAGTGTCTGAAGGCTGCCCAGAAGGAGAAAGTGTTGCATGCCTTAGCATGTCTCTTGCTGCAGACAAGCATCACAATTCACTCAAACCATAGTCCCTAGTGTGCAGTAATTTTGTTATTAGTAGTGCTGCTCTCTTGGACGTTTTATTTTTTCTTAATGACTGGAAATAATCAAACGGCTGCCCTTTTAATAAACGTGCTGTGTTGTTTCAGTATTGCACTTGTGTTTTTAAAACCTAATAATTTCATGCTGTTATGCCCTTACCTTTTTTACCCATTTCTTTAAAGCATATTTTAGCTAGTTAAAGAACTAGACTTTGGATTTTAATATGTTTGATCATGTACATTTTCATTTCATGAGAAGTTCTTTTGATAGTTTATTTTTTTATTTTATTTAACACATGAATCATTTTCCAGGTATGTACCTCCTGAACAAGCCAAGGTAGTGGCATCAGTCCATGCATCCATCTCTGGCTCCTCAAACAGCAGCACTAACAGCACCCCAGAGGTTAGACCCCTCAAAACCCTGCTGGGGGACTCTGCCCCGACACTGCACCTCAGCAAGAGTACCCCACCAAATCAGGTGAATACTTTTTAAACACACATCTGGAATTTTGAATTAGTGACAGACTTGATATTTTTTTAAACAAGAAAGTAACTCAAACTAGAGAAATTGCATTTCCTGCAAAAATGTAGTGTGAATGTTTATTGCTGAATAACTTGCTGAAAAATGGCTGAAGTTAGCTAAAAAACATGCTGAAATGTAGCTGAAATGAGGAATAAGCCTAAATTAGCAGAAAGCAGAAAGAACTTTGCTGAATTAGGTTTAAATAAGCAGAAATGACCACAAAAAATAGGAAATTTGCTAAAAAAAAAAAGAAAAGAAAAAAAGCTGAAATTAGTGTAAAAACAGCCTAAATAGGCAAACGCTAAAAAGTAGCTGAAAAGGCAGAAAGAAGCTTAAACTAGCAGAGAAAAGCTGAAAGGAGCATAATAAGCTGAAATTAGCAGAAAGAAGTTAATTCGGCTGAAAGTTGTAGAAATTACAACGAAAAACTTGAATTTATCTGAAAACAGCTGAAATTAGCTAAAAAATGCTAAAAATGTAGCTGAAAATGTAGAACACGCTTAAATTAGCAGAAGAAAGCAAAAAGAACACGTTTGCCTACTTAGGCTGAAAGAAACAGAAATGAGCACAAAAATGTGGAAATTATCTGAAAAAAGCTGAAATTAGCTAAAACTGCTGAAAAGTAGATAAAAAAGCAGAAAGAAGCTTAAATTGTTAGAAGGAAGTGGAGAGAGCACATTTTTGCTGAATTAGGCTGAAAAAAGTTTTAATGAGCACAAAAAAATGGGGAATTAGCTGAAAATGCAAGAATTAGCATAAAACAGATAAATAGTAGCTGAAATAGCAGAAAAAGCTGCAATTTGTAGAAATAAGCTTAAAGGAGCATAACAAACTGAAATTAGCAGAAAGAAGTTAGAAAAAGCTTAAAAATGTAGTTAGCAGAAATAATCTGAAAAGAGCACAAAACAACTGAAATTAGCTGAAAAAAAATGTTTAAATTTGCACAAGGAAGCTGAACCAGAACAAAATGTGCGCCAAAAGGTTCACAATAGTGTAAATACAAAACCATTCACACAATCAAGTTAACTTTCAGCATCTAATTATGGGTTTTTGGTCAGTTTCAGAACAGTCAAAACATTATAACATATCGCATTAAACAGACTTGCTCTCATTTCTTGGTTTGTATTCTCACCCAAGGACTTCTAGATCTGATGGACATATAAATAACTACTAAGTCAACATAGCATCATGACTCGTTTGGAGCATCTAAACTTAGGACGCCATGAATATCATCATCAGCTGAAAGGTGGCAGGCTGCATTATCTTGAGTTTCTGATGGTAGATACTGATACTTTTTGAAGATTCAGCCATGAGCAGCTTTATGGATTCTCAGTAAATATTTATTGTTGTTGCAATTTTTGCCAAAATATGTTCATATGAATTTCTTGCTAAAATGAAACCCTTTTTTACTTTTTATCTATGAACACACACCGTCATAGAAGATCTATATTCATATATTATTGTCCAACATGTTCAGTCTAGGGTTTGATTAAAATGTCACATTTTAAAAAGCAACTTTCCATAGGCTCATTCTGTTTTTATTTTTATTTTCTCTATCCAGAGATCTACTAGTTGGACAAAAATATCTCAATTAACAAAAATGTCCTAATTTCTTAAAAGTAAAACCTATTAAAAAAAAAAAGAAGAAGCAGATTAGCTATCAGTAGGGGTATGCTGATATATCATTTGCAGATTTACAGCAAATTAATCTTAAATTAATAAATGGAACATCAAGTAAATGCAGCGTTTCCCCTATCATTATCTGAGGAGGGGGCCCTGCCACCCCAACAGCATTGCCTCCCCCCATCAAGGTCATGTGTTGGCAAGCCATCGATTCACTGCGGCGGAGAGGATAGCAAAGCGATACATCGTCACCCCTCCCCCCACCTTCCTGACATCTCCGGGACCTTTGTTAATTAAGTAATTAAGATTGTATTAAATGTTAGTGCATCCATAGCATCATCATTGATGTACAGACACATCCAACTTGTACACGTAAATAAGCTTGCGCTAACAGAAGTGCACACAGCCTGTTTGAGTGTCTCTCGGTGTGACTTGTACTTTATAATAATGACTTTTTATAACAGTGACTTTATACTGTGCAAAGGAGTACCTCTGCTATACTTTTCAAAATAAAATCCCTTTGAATATAACAGTTATATAAAGGCAGAATCACCCTTTTAGTCTCAAGTTTTTGGAGCTTTATCACAGTAATCACATTATGAAGGTTGTTGTGGTGAAAAATCCCATCCATCCATCCATCCATCCATCCATCCATCCATCCATTATCTTTACCCGCTTATTCCTTTTTGGGTCACGGGGGTCACTGGTGCCCATGTCCAGCAATCACTGTGCGAGGGGTGGGGTGTGAAAAATCCCACTTGATGGATTTTCTTGCTGCTAGAACTACTTAAATGTTATAACCTGCATGATTGGTAATACCAAAGGGCAGGGCTTAATTTGTAAATTGATCAATGCCGAAACGCAAATGGGAGGGTGGGGGGGGGGGGCATTGGGGGTAAGTGGAGGGAGCTTCTGGGTTCTCCTCCCCCTTAAATATTTGAATAAAATAAATGCTATGTCCTGCATTTTGGTGTAGCTTATTTTAACGAGTTGTTGAACATTTACATACATTTGTAAACACTTGATTCAACAACTATTTAAAGCGCAACAACAAGTTGTGTGTGAATAGAGCAGCTCCCATTCTGTCAAGCAGCCCCCCCCCCCCCCCCCCCCCCCCCCACACACACACACTTCATTTTTCTGAGTCGAACTCTTCTCGGCTGATTTCATTCCTGCGCCTTGTTGCTCCTGCTGCCCCAATCTCCATTGCGACTGCCTTCTCGATTGTCCAACTAAGGACAATCCATCCATCCATTTAATGAAAGTAAACTGGACTGACTTTTGGACATTTTGATCGCTGTTATTTTGACAAATTAGCGCCGTTGTTTTGATACTTGATTAATGTGAATAATACACACCGAACATTTCTCTCGTATTTTTTTTTACTGTAGCTAAGCGTTTTTATTTATTATGTCTGAAATGTATGCGTGCGTTCACATCAGCAGTTGTGCGCGCTCAAAGCTGTCTAGAGACGCTGCTTTTCGTAAGGTATGTCAAGCCAAGTGGCCCATTAATAGCCACTTTTACCACATGTCTGGCTATTAATTGGCCACTTGGTTTGCCATATAAAGGAAGACACTTCATCCCCGTGGAACATGCCGTCTGCCTCTCTGCTGAGCAGGGGCATGTGCGCGAGCTGGTGCGCCTGCTGCAGCCGTAATCTCCACTCCACAGACTGGGCAACGTCTCCTCTCTTTATATATTTAATAAATAATCAAAATAAAAATGCGCATTGACTTTGGACCTTTAGGGGCAGAGATTTGAGTTGTCGGATCCGAGCAAACAATCGCTGGAACACACCCAGTCAAAATGAGTTGGTTCTCAGATCTATATCCGGCAGGATCCGGCTCAAATAAAGCATTGCCAAAGGGTAACTACAAACAAATCAATAGACCCAATGCAAGAATGTAGTCAATACAATAGTCCCTCGCTACTTTGCAGTTCGTTTTTCACGGACTTGCTGTATCGCAGTTTTTCAAAATAAGATTGTACATGACTCACAATTGGCTGAATGGATGAGCTGCACGATCGGCATGACATTTTTATTTAAAATAAATTATTTAAAAGTATTTAGCACCTGCTGCACCTGTGTGCAGCCCATACTGCAGAAGAAACTTCCTCCTGTAGCTCCTCCTTCCTCCTCTGCCAATCTCTGTTCTGCAGCGGAGAAGTGGGCGTGGCCGAGAGCGCAGAGTGTAAGCGTGGCAGAGAGCTGAAATCATGACATTCTGTGCTCTTTTTTTTAGAGCGTTTAGAGTTTAGAAACATTGTTTAGAATATTGCAAGAGTGTGGGAAGGGTTTAAAACGGGGGGGGAGGGGGGGGGGAGAATATATACAAAAATAAACTTCTACTAGTATTCCTACTTTGCGGTTTTTCACTTATCGTGGGGCTTCAGGGTACGGATCCCCCACGAAAAACGAGGGACTACTGTAATTGTTTCAATAAAAAATGTTTCAATCCACTCAAAGCAAAAACAAACAGAAGAAATGTGTTTTTTATATCAAGAGACTCAGAAAATGTTCTCTGAGAAGCCCTGAAGTGATAAAAGCTGCAGATTTTCTAAATGAATCTTCCAAGTTATAAAACTTTTTATTTTAAATTAATTTAAATCTACTGTTAATTTTATTCACATATAATTTGTTGAATAACATAAATTATTATACATAAACATTAGTTTATAAATACTTACGAGGGAGAGTGTAAATGTTTATAGTTTTCTTTCCAAGGGTCTGCTGTCGTCTCTGTTAGTGTCTGAATAAAGGTTGATTTGGGACTTGAGTTTTAAATAGACGCATATCGATGGTAACCAACACACGACTGCACTTGTTCATGTTTTTCTCTTATCTCCACCAGTCTCCAGTTGTCAGCCGTGGACAAACCCATCCGCAGCAATTCCACGACAAGAAGTTCGACCTCCTCAGTGACTTGGGTGGAGACATCTTTGCCGCCCCGCCTTCCAATGTGAACGCAGCTGCCGGCTCCACTTTTGCTAACTTTGCACATTTCAACAGCCACACAAGTAAGAGACCAGCAAACACCTGAACTAAATATATTATAAATACTGAACAGTGGCTTGCTTGAACAAAAGTCAGCAAACGATTATTACAATCTAAACTGAGTAAATATGGAATCGATGCGAGTTGAACTTTTCCACACGTGAACGCTTTACTGGCAAATTCTGGCAGATGTGGCACGATTACACGTGGTGAAAATCATCCTTCACTTCAGGTTACAAACATTTAAATCGCATAAAGAATAAAATATTCAAAATGTATTCTTATTAGGGTTGTTTTCTGTTCTCATTTCCAGTTTTATTGCAGTTTTAAGAAAATCATTGGTTGTAGAAAACTGAATGGGTTATATTGTAACAGTCACATAAACTCCCTGCAACTTTTCTGTTCATGTGTTTTTACGTGAATCCCATTATATTTTATCTGAAGTGTAGTAAACTTGCATGCAAGATGCCTAAATGAGGCTATAATGTCATCAGCACCAACTTGCCATTGAATTTAAATATTAGTTAATTATTATCTTGTTCATCCGCATGCATGGTTCTTTCACTTGTTTGTCCTGAAAGTCAGAAGTTGAACACAGTTGCAGATAACTCTGTAAACTGGAGGGACCGATGCAACTCATTTTTATTGTCAAGTCCTTGGAAGGGAGTCAAAAAAACAGAATGAACTAAAACAAATGGAGAAAAAAAATGGACAAAAGATTCAAAGTGAGCCTCCAAAGGACAACTTTTATTCAAGTAATTTCTCTTTGGTTACATTTGAACCACTGCTGGAGGTTTCTTACATGAAGGAGTTTTTCCTTTTCGCTGTCGCCGTCGTACTCGCTCAAGATGAGGGTTCTGCGATGAAGAAGCAGTCTGCTCCTCAGATAAATAGTGTTAACTTGTTTTTGTATATGAATGTTTCTGTTCAGTGCCCTGACATGACTTCTGTTGTGACTTGGTGCTATATAAATAAACTGAACTGAATATGTCACACGCACAAAAGTTAGATAATGGCTGACCAGTAGATGTAAATGAATGTAAAACCAGTTATTTATCTGTCAGAAACCATCTCTACTGCTATATTCCTTAATGTGTTTTTTGGTTTTAGAAGCTAATGTTAGCAAGTTGATCATTCCTTTGTTGCTGTTTTCAACATTTAAAAAGCTTTACACAACGGACAGACATTGTTCTTTAGAAAACTGAAGAATAAAAAATAAACCTCTGAACGCCCTAATTATATCCTGCTAACTCACGGTTTTGTATAACATCTTCACCAATTCTTTAAACAAAATTGGTAAGAGTGCCAGCATAGCCAGTAGCAACATTTCGAAGAAGTTATTCTAGTGTTTCAAGGTGTTGACTGTCTTTACTTAACGAAGGACTCTTGTGGCAAATTACTGAACTAAAAAAACTTTGCTAAATGTGAGTGATCACACAGATCCATGCTTGCAAAACCCATGCATACATGATAAATTAGCCTAAGATGCAGACATATCTCCATGGTTACTAACTTCTGTAACGTAAAGCTATTGGTGTATTTGAGGGAAATGAGTGGACATTATCCTCCACAGGAAGCACAGGAAGCAAAGGGCAATTAAGCAACTGAGTGGCTTCTGCACATTTCCACAAAGAAAACTTGAGTACAGACTTTCACGTCCAAGATTATAAATGCATATTTAGTAGTACTAGGCCTGTTGCGATAAACAATAAATCAATAAATTGCATGATAAATTAAAACCATTTATCGACTTTTTTCGTTTCTTCATTTCTCTCTTTCTACTGAAGACACTGGATGACAAAAGGCTCCACTCCGGTGCTCTTCACTGACCCCTCACTTTCTATTTCCTCTTTAAAATCTGTTTTAACCATCCAAAATCGTGTTTTTGGATCCTTAAAAGCAGCTAAGCTGAGAAGCTAAGCTACGAGCTAAGCTAACAGGCCGACCTTGGGGAAAAACCTCCGTCTTGTCGAAGCTCTAAAATTCACGTTTGAAACCTGTGACTTTGTGTAAAAAGTTTCTCCCTGCAAAAAAGAAGCTGAGAACTTGTTTACTGATTTTTTTTTTTTTAATTAAAAGCTTTATTTGAAAAATGCTATGCTAAAGAGCTCAAACCACACCGAGCGTCTGCCATTTTGAGAACGGAAAAAAAGAAGGCGAGACAGCCCATGTCAAGGGGCCTCCCTCTCATTTTTCTTAGAGACACGCTGCTCGCTCCCTCACCATCCATCCTTCGGTTCAAACAGTCTTCTACTGCCATCGATAAAAGATACTACACGCAAAACAAATTAACCAACATTTCTTCTTAAATTTGACAATAGTTATTAATTATTGTCAAATTTCAAACAATATTATCATTTATCGCAATAATTTCTGGGACAGTTAATCGCCCAGCAACATTTGTTATCGTGACAGGCCTAAGTAATAGCAGATGCAGCTTTTAAAAAACCTCTAGGTAAAGGGTGAATGTTGCACTATCCAGTTTGTTCCTTTTTCCTAGTGACACTACTCATACCTCACAGTCCATTGTATTTGTTTATAAAGTTACCCATTTCATCTGGATGTCATGTGTAAAATCATTCATGCACTCTTTCTCCTCACTGTTTTGTTGCTCATCTGTCTGTCTGAACGTCACCTCTTCACCACTCCCAGTGCCACAGAACACCAGTGCAGGGGCAGACTTTGCTCATTTTGATGCATTTGGGAATGGTTCTGAGTCGACGGGTGGTTTCCCCTCTTCACCCCAAGCTGCATTTCAGCCCCCAAATACAGGTAGAGCAAATCTATTTAATGGATCGATCTCACATTCAGACACTAACAGAAAGAAGTTGACTTGTATGTCAAGTAACACAACTTGGTGATTTTTTTTTTTT